ATGTCCTAACTTAAACTTAAATTTTGTAATGATAGGTTTACCTATGTGAACAATTCTAGTGAACAGTACTAAGGAATAATACTCATTAAATAAATAAATAAAAAACTATAAAAACTTTAGAATTCCTAAAAAACTAAAAATCTTAAAAATAAATCCTAAAACTAAAACCAAAATACACATCCTTTAAAATTGAATAGAAATTAAAAATAAGTATAATTTTTCCCTCCATCACTTAGGCTTAGGCATTTGCTTCCCTTGGTTTGCTTGGTTACCTTTAGCTTGTGCATGGTTCCTAGGGGAGTAGAAACTAGGTGGTGGAGGAGGAGGAGGAGGCATCTTGTTATATGGCTTACCCTTAGGATTTCTATTTCCTTTGTTCTTTCTTGATTTGTCCTTTCCCTTTCATTTCTTATTGTTATTACTGTTAGATGTGCTCCCACTAGCCCTGGCATTGCACATAATTAGCATTTGAAGTAGGGAGATAGGAAGAGGAAGGGAGTGGAGGGTTTACCATATGGACCTTTGGTCCATCCATAGCCATCCTCCTTTGTTTTTCGGTCTTCATGAAGTGGGCGATCTCATCAATGGTCATGGGAGTCTCTTTTGCCAGGAGGTTTGCCACATTCCCTTCCCATGAAGGAGAGATGGAGACATTGAAGAGGGTGGTGAGTGTCTGTTGGTCGAAGGGGTGCCGGCAACTTCACTTTCCTTGATACATTGCTTGAACTTTCTTTGGTGATCACGCACCTTAGTGTGACCATCCATCTTGCATGTCGAAAGGCTCCTCATCTTAATGATCTTCTTAGCTCTAGATGGAGTATCATATCTTCTCTGCATTCTATCCTAGATGTCTTTCACCGAGGTGTAGTCTTCATACTCTCTCACATAAGTTTCATGCATAGTGGCTAAAACTGTGTGTAGCACTCTGGTTTTTATGGTGCCAAGTAGCATAAGCCTCTCGTATGGCTTGGGATGCATTACGGGCTGGCTTATTAGGTGGGGGCTGAGACAAGTGGAGTTAAATCATCCTTATGGAAGACATAACCATCTTTTTTCTCCACTCGGCTTAGTTCAATAACTTTTCCTCTATAATTAGTTCGGTCAATATGGACTTTGGATGCCATGGCTTGCACTTGCATTCCTAGGGTACAATGTAAGACACTAATAAAGAACCAAGGGGACCTTCAAAGAGCCATAGCTTGGATACCAATTGCAGTGATATAGAGTCTAGTGCTCTAGTTACAGCTCTTGTACTTGAAACTTAAACAAAAAATTTTAAACATACAAATCCAAACTCTTTTAGCTCACTGTTACAACTTCAAACTTTAATCGCAAGGACTCAAATATCACTTGGCTTCCCAAGTTACAAACTCAAATACTTTACACATGGAGATACAAACTATGTCATTATGCACATAGAATTACCTGGATTGCACATACAATTCCTTCATCAACTTGTACATCACTAAAAAACATTACATTTCGATCTCCATAACATAAAACATTCACAAACTCGAAGTTACAGTAAAATAAGTTTAAATTATGCAAGGAAAGTCAATGGTCGAACCTTTGGTGCCCGGATCACATAAACAAATCTTTTAGGAACTTAAATTTGTCTCAGAGATGATAACATAGATGGCTCAAGTCACAAGGGCTAATGTCACTCACACAAATAGGAGCTTAAACTCACTGATCTACCACTTAATTAGGCTTAAATTGAGAGAGAGCTGAACTTTTGAAGATGAAAACAATGAGGTGAAGTGCAAAGAATTCACATATAACACATGAATAACCATAATGTAGTGTAGATTGGTACAATTTCTCAAATAATTTTCTCAAGGACTATACTCTAGCTAAATGGTACTCAAATGGGCATGAAATGCTCATTGATTTACATAACAATGATGCTTAAAAATCTCAAAAATTTCAAGTGCAAAAATCGAGGAGAAAATGATGTCTAATGGATAGATCTAAGGGCTAAACTATGCATACACATGAATAGTTTCAAAAAGCAATGAAGGATCATTAAATACTCAAGGAAATTTGATGGAGATGCTACTGTAATTGAAGATTTACAGCAAGCAAAGGATAAGAGAAAAGCTCTCAATGAGAAGAGAAATGGTGGAGATCCTTACCTTAGAGAGCATGGAGCATATTATGGAGTAGACACCTTAGAAGATAGTATGTACCACCATGACATCAACAAGCACTTGGGTGCATGAGGCCAGATCCCTTTTAATGCTGAGCAAATGTTTTTTAAATTGATTTATGCAGGAATTAAGATACTTTCTGCAATAATTAGAACGCTACCCTATTTTTGTTATTCGGATTGGGACAAGATACATATTTCCAACTGAGATTGTCTTTTTTTATCAAACTAGAATAAGTCATGGTTACCTACTCAATAAATTACCACACCCTTGAAAATTGTACCAAACCACCACAACCATTCTTGGATGCATATACATCAAGTCTAAGATGCAACAAAAAAAAAAAAACGAAGAAAAAAAATCAAGTATTGAGTATAATAACCCAAGCTAGAAAAACTTCTAACAATTCAAATATGAATGCTAGACAAATTCACGAGGCAAAAACCTAAAGACCCAAAGTTCAAAAAAAGGCACTCGACTAACCAATTTGACCGAATATATATTACTATTTATTGATTTGCAAGTATAAAATGTTGTTGTAACACTTCCCTAAAGAAAAAAAGTATTCTTGTAACCGCTCAAAAGTATTCATTATTCAATAATTTGCAAAAATTAAGTATGTGGTGTAAGACGCAAAGAATCAATTTCATCTCAAAAAATATTCATCACGTTACCAAAAAAAGCAATTACCCAAGTATGTGGAAAAAGTCACTAATGGCACATCAGATATAAAAAAGAAATCACCAAAACATAGAAAATGGGTAATAAAATACCTATTGACCCTTTTCAATATTTGGACAATTTAAGGACTAATAAAGTAGGAAAAAGTCCCGCAATATTTGAGTTTGTTGACGTTTTAGTAAGATTGGGTTACCTAATTTGATGCTTTATCAAGCTTGCATTACACAATCTTAATAAAAATTTTATTTAACTCAAAACTAGAAACCACTCTTCAATAGGGGTCAAAAATCCAAAAATCTGTTTGGAAACAAAAACACAAAAACAATAACCAGAATAAACAAAAAATGTTTACAATTAATTAAGAAATGAAATACACTAACCTTTAAAACCTAGTCGAACATGGCTCATATCGGTGCCCTTTGGTTGCTGAAAGACTTGTTTTGCGACCTTCAAGTCTCAAAAAGTATCAGATCTATTACTTTTGATTTTGCAAGAAATTGAAAAGATCGAAATTTTTTTCGTTCTTTAAAAGAATATTAAAATGTAGTTTTTGAGGCTGGAAAATGGTGATTTTTTGTCCTTGTTCACTGCATTTGTCTATGTATGTATGCAGGCAGTTGTATATGTGTATGCAAGGGGCACAAAAGCTTGTAGCCAATCAATAAAATATCAAAAGTTGCTGTCAGTTGCACAAAGACTGGATACTAGGACAAAAGCAAAAGCCAAGCTTAAATCTTAATTCCCCAATATTTACTGTAGCTAATACTGGTCCACAGCCATCACTAATAGGTGCATGTTGGGTTTATCATCTTGGTCTTATGCAGGAGTTAGTGGAGTTATAGATCTTGAAGTTACCCTATGTCAGGTTTCTTGTGTTGCTTTTGGCTCTATTTCATATTACATACCCATAGGATGAATGTAGCTGAGATTATGATGTTGAGATGGCTGAATGACAATACAAGAAGGGATAGAATTGAAAATGAATATGTTTGGTGGAATTTAAATGTAGCTCCAATAGGTGATTAGATGAAAGAAAGTAGACTTAGGTAGGCTGGCCATGTGCAATATAGACCCAGTATAACATCTGTTAGGAGGTGCAAGTTGGTTCAAGTGGAAGGCTAGAAAAGAGCAAGGGATAGGTCCAAAGGGACATGGTTGGAAGTAGTGAGAAAAGATATGGTGACTTACGGCCTCACTGAGGCTATGACCCTTGATAGAGCAGAATGATAGATTAGGTTTCATGTAGCCGACCCCAAATAGTTGGGAAAGGGTTTTGATGATGATGACTATTTTTATTCAATTATAGTAAGTCGGGCACTTGCATCAAACAAATGGACAAAAAACCGAGGCTATTATCTCCAAGTAGTTGCCTTGAAGTAGTTGGATAAGTTGAATGCTTCGACCAAAGTTTACTCTAAATCTTCTGCCTAATGCACATTGTGGCACCTTGAAGTTCTTGTACTAGCAGTTGTTGGACTATTTTGTACCAATTTACCTTGAATAAGAAAAATTTTCTGGCCCTGAAGTCTATGAATCAAGTATCGGTGTCTCTCATACTGTACTATTAGTGGCTAATGGATATTTTTAAAGTGGATGCCATGTGTGCTCCAAACAAAAGAGAGCTTTATTATAGGGTTTCCTCCTGTTGTCAGTGTGAAAATGGGCACTTGATTCTAAACAGACAGACAGGGGGTCTGATAGGTAGAACTTTTCGGGAGTGGGAAACCCAACTTCCACCAAAATCAACCTTCGGTGTTTATGATGGAGGCCTGGAAGCTGCAATATGGAAGCATGGCCTTCCACGCCCCTATTAATTTTGCCCCGTTTGTGGAAGACGTAGTGTGTGTTCCACTTTTTCTGTAAGAGGTTGCCGTGGCAGCCCCCTCTTCCTTTTCCTTTCTTCAAACACGGCCTTAGTATACATATTCTCTCCAAAACAAGTTGAGGGCATTGTTTCTTGTTGTTTCTCTATGGTGTGGAAGTAAGAACTTGGCTTCCATTATTAGGAATTAATTCAGTTGTCTCCCTTTTCTTGGTTTAATGTTTCTTCTCCTAATTTAGATATTGAAATATGATTTGATATCAATTTTCACCTGGTCATAGATAACAAGGTTATACTATCTCTTTCCACATTTTAAGTTAATTCTTTTGCTTTGCTGATTTGTCCAGATACCTTTACCAAGCACTTCAAGAAATATGGGGCAATTACTGATTCTGTTATCATGAAAGACAAGCAGACGGGTATACCTCGTGGCTTTGGATTCGTAACATTTGCTGATCCATCAACCTTGGATAAGGTGCTTGAGGATGAACATGTTATTGATGGGCGAGAGGTGGGTAAACACTTTTTTTTTTAATTTATGAAATTTCATTTTCTCTTGAAGAATATTATATTATATTTCTTTGATTGACTTGTTGTACTTGCTTTATCTCAGGTAGAAGTAAAGAGGACTGTTCCTCGTGAGATGTCCACTAAAGGGCCAAGAACAAAGAAAATTTTTGTTGGCGGGATTCCGACATCTCTGACTGATGGTAGTAATCAATCCCTTGTTTTCCTTGTGTCCTTTTGTCACTAACTTCATGTGCCAAACTTTGCAGATGAATTGAAGGAATACTTCTCATCATATGGTGAGGTGGTGGATCACCAGATAATGCTGGATCATGGAACTGGCCGTTCACGGGGATTTGCTTTCGTCACATTCAAGAATGATGAGACTGTTGATGAAATCATCTCTAAGGGAAAGGTCCATGAGATCGGAGGAAAGAAGGTGCATTAATTGGTTGAAGTTTTAATACATGGGCATACACACACTTGAGACGATAAAACCCAACTTTTATAGAAACAGAGAGTAGTTCTTCTGCACTTGTTTTTTTTTTTTTAATATTTTGCATTGGGTGGGTTTATGAAATCCTCTGTGTCCTTTTCTTTGTTCTCCTTTCCTTCAACCCAAAATCTCATTCACATAATGCATTTACCCCTCATCCTCTCTCTGGTCATCTTTGAGTTTAAAGTCTTACAATATCATTTCGTTTTCCTTTTTCTGAAATTCTTCCCACATCCCATTTTTTCTCTGGGACCTTGATCTCCCATATTTTTGCTCACCCTCTTTATCCTTTTGAATTTGATAGGTCTCTTGTTACTAGGAAGTTAGAGGATACACATAATTACCATTAATTTTGATGCACTGATTCAGGAGATTTGAGTCTGGATATGTGATTGTGATGGTTTTTGCAGGTGGAGATAAAAAAGGCAGAGCCAAGAAAACCTGCACTCCCAGAGCGCGGGAATAACATGAGAGGTGGCTATGGTGGTGGTGGTTATGGAGGTGTATATGGTGGTTATGGTGGGGGCTACAGGTCTGGGGGAAGGATGGGGGGCTTTGTAAGTGGCGGTTACGGGGGAGGTGGAGGTTATGGTGGTGGATATGGGGGCTATGGAGGGGTTGGTTATGCCGGTGGTTATGGGAGTGGGTATGGGGCTGCATATGGTGGTGGAATGTATGGTGGTGCTGGTTATGCAGACAGTGGTGATGGTTATGGCAGCCCGAGTGGGTTCGGTGTTTATGGAGGCAGCAGGGGTTATGGTAGTGGTGCCAGCAACCGGTACCATCCATATGGAAGATAGGCATCAAGGATTTATTCAGGATTTTGTAGCAGGAAACGGTTGTGCTGTGGCATCTCTAAAGAGGATACGATCTCTATTCCTTTTTCAAGTGTCCTGTGTTGGAAGTTTTGAGTTTAGAAGTTAACTAAGTTCTCTAATGAATTTGTTTCTCTTTTTACTGGCAAGTACTTGAACTTGGATGTCCTTGTAAAGCTTGTTTGCTTCTAGGATTTGTTGTATGCTGTATCCTTCATCATACATTACTTATCTGATGGCATTTAGGATGGGCTTTCGAGCTCTTTGCAAAAGCAAAGTGAAAAAGTTTGTTAGGGTGATGCGAAAGGAGTCTTGAAAATTAAATCCAGCATTCTTTCAATCTTAGAGTAAATCAAACAACTAGTAACTTAAAAAAATAATAAATAATAATGGTTATCAAAAACCAAAAGGGAAGAACACAATTTATTTCTTTCAAATAAATCGTCCTAGTCCCTAGATAAAAAAAATAGGGGAGGTTTTAACGAATATGGTCTTTTGTTTCATGAATTTTCTAAAATGCCCTATGTGATTATGACACTGATGTGAAGGTCATCACGGTTGCTCTTCTAGATTGTGGTGATCATAGAGCCATGAAAGAAAGTGATTTTATGATCATAGGTCAAATAGAATTTGAATTGTGATGTCTTTTTTTTTTTTTTTACCATATGAACCATCATGGTTTTGTTAGTACCGCGATGGGCATAAGGCCAATGAACCATCATGGTATTGAAGATACCATGAGGGTTTTTAGTAGAACCATCACGATTCTAATCATGTGAACCATCGTGGTTCTTCCAGTACTGTGATGATCAAAGTACCTATGGTCTACAACGGTATTGCAAGAACTGTCATGGTTCACCACGGTTTGTTCCAAAATAAAAAATCCAATCTAGTTAGCGCATATGTTAATTGGCTAAAAAATGCCAATAAGAATGATGTGTCAATGTTATAAAGGTGCAGTTTGCATACCGATGCATATGTAGGTATAGACGTAAGGTGTACCTGTAAATTTTATCATGGTGTATAATTTTGATGTAAAATGTTTTTAAGGATTATTTCAAAATCTATTTTTATATCTAATTATAAAATTTTAAATTTAAACAATAGTTAAAATCAAATAGATCTATAAACATATGAAAATCTTGAAAATAAACAGTGTATATAATATGTTGTAAAATGCACTATTTTTTAAATTTAATTTTTTTTTATTTTTCATAATCATATATCTTGATGTCGAGATATATATCAAAGAGTTTTCTAATATTAAAACTACTTTTTCTAATAGATATTTGAGAGGCATCTATCCTTATATAAACTTTTCCCATTTTATAATGGGAATCCAGCACATAAAGTAATGATAGCAAAGATTGCTTGTACAAGCAGTATATCATCAGAAAAAGTACAAGCCTGTTGCAGTGGCGTTTGTGGAGGTACCACATCAAGGAATGTGTCATTCAGTCTTTTACCATTTTGGTCCTATGTTGCTTGATGTTTTGTTACTAAACAATCTTCATGGTTTTTATAGATTTACCTAGTCACATGACTATCACGGTCTTGAAAGAATCATGATAACTTTTACTGTTTTGACTTTTTTTTGAAAGGTATTTTAGGTAAAAAAAAAAAAAAAGAAAAAAAAAAACGAAATGCTATTATATATAAATTAATAAATAATAATAATAATAACAAAAAAAACAACTATGGATGAGGTTTTGAAAGAAATGGGTTTTCTTTCGAAAAAAAATAATAAAATATTTGTAAAAATAAACCTATTAAAATCTCTATACCCGGACGTATCTCTCGCTCCCCCTCTCTCTAAATTACGTGGGTCCCATATATAAGGGAACTGCCCACATCACACACTAAATCGATCCAATTACATTGGAAAAACTTTACAATCCTACCCATACCATCAAATAGAATTACCCTTTAACCTCATAATTCAAGTTCCTAAATTCAACCAACAATAATAAGGAAAACCATGCCATGCCCCTACAAATATAAATAAATGAAATAAAAATATAATCTGATCATGTTATTTTTTGAATTTGATTGGCATTCTCCCAAGGTTGGAGAAACTCAAGTCCATCGGGTCGGCATCAACATGGACCATGAATGAATCTCCTATAGAAGGTAGCATATCCATTGAAACCTCACGCCTTTGTTACTAATTTTGAAACCAACCATTCCACTATAGCATGCACCTTCTCAAGATCTACCTCCACCACATTTAGGATCTACCTCCACCACATTTAAAGAGACAACATAACCCAAAAACACTAGACTATTAGCCAAGAAGTTAATTTTTTTTATTTCGATGTACTACTTCTCAACCCTTAGCACTGTCCTCAACCCTTAGCATTGTCAGTATCTAATGCAGATGGGTAATATGGGCATTAACATCTACACTGTAACAAGTATATCATAAAAAAAAGCTACTACTAATTTGCCAATAAAAGGTCATAGTACTTGTGCCATTATGTGCATGAATGTGCTAGATGCATTTGACATGTCTAAAGGCTAATCCAACCCACTTATATAAACCACTCATGGTCTTAAAAGCTGTTCCATCAGCTCCTTCGCATACGGGAATTTGATAGTAGCCACTTCTCAAGTCAATTTTTGAAAATATAGAAGCCTAGCTAACATATGAAGCATATCATCGGGGAATAGGAAACTAATATGTAACTGTGATTTATTAAGGGCACGGTTTGTATAGAGCTGAGGCTCTAAACAATCAAAGTAAAGCCCACCTTCAAATGGTATCGAGAAATATGATCTCAATACTGAAAATCTTTGTGATAGTCTTAAAATATATTTTCCTTTCCAATTATAAAATTTAAAAATTTAAAAATAGTGTAGTTCAAGCATATATATGAAAACTTGAAAATTAACGGACAAAAAATGCGTCACAAGATGCACTATTTCCAAAACTTGAAATCCATTTTTTTTTTTCATGTCCATGCATCTTGATGATCAATTTGAGGATATTTAGACATCAAAACAACTTCTTTTAATGAAAATTTTGAGGTAGGCTCTAATTTGATTGTTTAAAGCCTTGCCTCTATATAAACTTTTTCTTTTTATTAATAGCCCTACTTACTTTACACATCCTCCATGATGCATCTTTTTTTAGGGGTAAGCAAAGTTAGTATTGTACATGGACTCATGCCAACCGTACTCATGGTAACCCTTATAAGCCCCTTTGCTAACAACTCATTCACTTGAGGCTCATTATGCTCGGTAGAGCTCATTAAGCTTGACCCAAGTATGAGGTCTATACAATATTGTATATTCCTCATAGGCGGCAAGCTAGTAGGTAAGGTCTTCAAACTCCAGCAAAGTGATTTATGGGCTTCAATCACTAAAACAAGGTGCCCCAAGTCTTTTTTGACTAGTGCATAAATCTGCTCGGTCTCCTCAATAAACTGCTAGAGATCGAGAAGAGACATGTACCTCAACCACGCATTTGAACTATGCGACCTTGCAATGATGTGAATGCTTTCCCATCTTGAGATGCAACTTGCATACCATCTCCATCCCTTGAGAGACCATGTTTTCGTTAACTCATATTGCCTATGATATTACACACTTTGAAGTTGCATGTATAGCAGGCCAACTTTCTTCCTTGGATGCACATATCAGTGAAAAAGCACGTCGAACCAACAAGGTCCTGCCTTGATCAGCAATCTGGGCATGGTGGATGGGTCGTGGAGAGCAGAGTCGAACGGAATGCATTTTGTTAAGAGTTTATATAGCAACATAATATTTAGTTCAGCATATGGGATCGTCGAGAAATATGTTAAAGCCTTCTTGTTTTCCTGATTGGTTCCATGAATTTAATATGAACTTGGCATCTTCAGAGGAATGAATGCTCAAGACTTGACTACTTTGTAAGGTGTGTTCTCCATTTCCTTTTTGCAGATGGAATACAAGGCTGAAAAGAAAGCAAAGAAAGAAGCATACAAAAGGCTGAAGCAAATAGCACGCCTTCAAGGGAAGAAACCACCACCAAACCCCTACCCAAGTGCTGTAAAAGAGATCCAAGCAGAGGAGATGAAATACGTGCGAGGTCGCTTCACCGGTTCAAAGATTCTAGAGATTGTGCAGAAGATGAAAGTAAGGGAAGAATAATGAAATGGCAATGCGTGAATGGAGTGGTGGTGACAGGTAAAGAGCCAACTGAGTCCTTAATATACTTATCCCACTTGTGGAAGTGTTGCCTTTCGGTTATTTTCATAAAGAATTTTTTCCCTTTTATTTTTTACTCTAATAAATTTTCATTTCCTTGGAACAATAGGTAGAATATCAGGTCCTTGTACCATTTTTTTTTGTAATGTAATCAATGTTCTCTTTGATGGCGTTTTTGAGTTGGGAACAAATTTTGGACCTGTGATTTTTATTTCTAGAAATCGATTACTTTTTAACCAATATGACATGGTAAACCCCCTAACCGTGTTTATGCTTTGGACTATCTCTCTCTCATACACACATACACAGTTCGCATGCACGTACACACAGTGTTAATCCCAGTATTTTGTCACCATCATGAGGGCTACTTAATGGAGAGCCTTACCATTTAACGGTAAATATAGTGCATGAAAATGTGGAAATCCGTCTTTCGGAATGGCTTAGAAGATCAATGACACTTTAGTTGGTCCCTAAGCAAGACCAGGAGCATTTTAGTTGTTTGTGGAGGTAAGGGAGAAAGAATTCTTCTAATATCAAGAAATAAATGCTTTGGCCGGTGAAGAAATACTCAATAACTCTTTGTTATGATGAGCTCCAGTACAAATCAATGCCGTTGAACACGAGGGGTTTTGTGTAGTCAAAATGCGTCTAACCATTGGTTGAATTGATTGAACTAGATTTTAGACAAAAAAACGAAAAAAAAGAAAAAACAGAAAAGAAAAATTGACATATAATATATTTGAAAATATAAAATTATATTAAAAAATTTGTCCAATTTCATTTAGTGTCCGTTTGGATGTACCCAAAATTGCAATATTTTTGGATTGTAATTCATAATCTTGTGAAACAAATTTGAACCGCTTGGACAACCTCAAGATTTTGTTAGAATTTCAGATTAAAATAAAAAATACTGCAATGTTAAGACAAAAGTTATCGTAAAAAAAAATTCAAATCAGACTTGAAATTTTTTGATAAAAGTGTAGCTCACTCACCCCGTGCAAACTTCAACCCATAACCCAACAACTCCGTGAAATCTCAAAAACCCCAAATCTACTCTACCCAACAACTTCGTGAAACCTCACAAACCTC